AATGTGATAGTTCACAAGCCTATACGTAGAGATCAGAGAACATGAAATAAATCAATAAAATCATGACACAATAACGGGTTGGGGAATAATGAACAGGAGGAGCGTGCACCTCTTCGGTTCTGTGCGATTCTTGGAAATAGTTCAAGGCTTCTTGATTGCCGGTTTACGTATATATTTGGCTTTCTCCTGCAAAAAAGAAAGAAAATACTGTGTGACAAATTTACAGATTAAATCATTTCATCTTATTCATTTTTACTTGCTTTTATTGAATATACAAAGAAACTATTTTCGGGTAAAGGGAAGCGGCCAATCAAACATACAACATACAATGAGGAAAGAAAGTCAGACGGCAGTGATGGTGGGATTTGAACTCCTGTCCACCAGGGTTATAATTTGGTGACGGTACCATCGCGCCACTACCGCCCTAGTGTTGATTGTAAGAAGCTTTATTTTCCGTTACAGCAAATACTTCAAGTTTTAGTGTCAGGGAATGAGCATGCTTCCTGAAAACTTCTTTGTTCCGAGACAACCAATCAGAACAAGGATAGATGAACTCAGATGATTGACCGGGACCGCCAACCAATCAAGACGGTTGATAACAATCCAGTCAACCAACCATTTGATATATGCACTACTCTCTCTCTCCTATAAAGATTTTCGCATAATAAATAAATTCCCACACGCTTCCACCTGTGTTCTATTTCACTATCTGTGGAGTTTCTATCTGAATGAGAAACGTTACCGGAAGACGATCCTTTGAGAATCCAGTACCGAGTTAAATCCTTTGCGGTTACAACATTTAGTATATGTGGATATCTGCAAGTGTGTTAGACTGAGCAAGCACAATTAGGTTAACCGAAGTTTAGTCGACATGGCGCTCATGGGCGAAAGAAAGCCATTACTATGGTGTACCATGTGAGTGGGACTAACCGCTTTATTAAGGATTCAAAAACATAAGAAATGAGGCAAACCGATGGAATTTCCACGTCCCTACAAAGTCTTCTTCGCTGTGTCAAAGAAAAGGCTCCCTTTGTGCGCAAACGTTCTGAGAAAAATCGTGGTAAAATACCGGAATCGGATGCAGATCAAAACTGTTTCTGGTGACAGGAACTGCCGTGAGTTGCGGTCAACCTTGCAGCAGCGATGTAGCGCATGCGTCAATTGCTATCCCGATGCTGTAGGACTCAATCGTCATTTTGCAATTATACTCAAAGCTGGTTTTCTCCCACGTCTTTTGACCCACGGAAAATGGATTCTGCGCTCTCTGAACCCAGATTCTCCAAGCCTTGAAGAAACTCAAAGCCCCCGTAGCTCATTGTTCCTGGCTAATATTACTTTGTCTGTGTGAAGCATGCTGAGAGCATTTTGAAACATCTCTGCTGCTTCAATGTTCAATATACGTTGATTATCGTGAACAATTTTCAAATATTGATCATTAGTCTTGACGAAGCTAATCCCCAAGAAAGATGTGTCAATGTACGGACTGATTGCTTGCACCTATACATTGCTGCACTGAATGGTTTTTCTCTGCGATTTCAGTCAGTTTACTCACAGATTGCATCATTCCGCACGAAATGCTTTTGCTAAGATTGTGTGCATTCTGTCACCTCCGTCCTAAACCAAGACAGAGGTATATCCGGTTGACTTTATCCTGAATATTCAAACACTTTATTTCCTTCACCGAGAGATATTTATTCAAAATATTTGTGAATGTGGCCTGAGACATCATCTGTTCAATGCTCGGATTCAATAAGTTTGTTGGAAGAAAACCTACTTCTTCAAACACTGATTTTTGGTGTGCTCCAGTATGCTATTCTGTCTTCATTCGTTTTGTAAAAAAAAATAATATTATCGNCTCCCCCCCCCCCTCGTTCCAAGATGGCCTCAATGAAATCTATGATCGATCTCCCCTGACCTGCTTCCCTGTTTTACCAATGAAAGTGTTTTGTTATGTTACTGCCAGATTTCGATCCGGACCTGTAATCTTATTTCATTAAGTAGTCTCTCCGATCTTGCTCTCAATGGTTCTGACCCTTATGCTCCTCTGGCCTATGAATGAATGATGAAGCCGTTTTTTCAAAGGTTCACAAACTCTCATTTTGCCCAAATGGATTCAGGGAAGCAGTCCTCACTTCAAACATTCCCCGTTGAAGCTGTCATTATTTACAGCTTTTCACACTGCTGATATTTGTAACTCTTTCTGGTCGAAAAGACAACTACTTCCCCTTGTTCATCAGATCCCTCTATCTTTTGTTAAAGCCCTGGCTGGGGAGATAGACGGTTGTGAGACGTGCCTTGGTCACACACACACACACACACTCCCAATACCCATGACATATCTTGGTTGATTCGAAATCTCATTAAAATAGAGGTCATGATTATGGATAGCGGGTATGGTAGTTACAATGACCGGGAAACATGTTTCAGCTAATCTCAACTTGAGATAGATTACTGGAGTTGTTTCAGGTAACAACAGATAACTTGAATCAGTTGGTTTGTGAGTTTCAATGTCAACTGTATTATCAGTTCAAATGCATTGAGTAATCTTTCGATTCTTTTGCTCTTCCCAGATGAAATAAACTGCATTTTATTGAAAAATATGTAAGTTTTAAACTGAAATGTAAGCATATAATTTTATTCAAGTTTTTCAAATACAAATGTTCTACTAAACTGTAAATCTAAAAGCTGTGTGGTTGGTCAAACAGTTCGACTTCCGCCACATCTTAACTGGTACAATACGGCAGAAAATTACACCTTATAGCGTTTAGCAATACATCAGGTTACACAAGAATGCGACAGGGACGAACCGTCACATTTTTACCACGATCAAGGCAGAGACATTGTGACTAGCAGTTCTTTTTGCACACATAGGCCAGGTTTACATTCTCTGATTGCAACTAAAACTCCGCAAACCTTAGCACAACCGGGAGTTGGCGTGATGATTCGTCCCTGTTTTTGTTCTTGTGCAATCTGATGCACTACTGTTCAACGATATAAACTGTAGTTCTCTGCTGTATTGTATCAGTTAAGATGCAGCCAAATCTGTCTTGTCATGCAATCGATCAACGCAGATTTGCTGTGCTCTCTCTTCAAATTTATCTCGGTAAATAAAGGTTTCAATCCGACTTCCATTTTGCTCGACGAATGACATACCATGAAGGTGGTTGCAGAATTCAGTTCACTAAATAATTTACGTTTCAACGCAGTTTTGCGCATATCAAACAGTTTAATAAATCCAGCATTGAAGAGCTGCCTACTTACAGGGTTCAATACCTATCTTGAGGTGCCATTTAAGAGAGGGAAAACTTCGGGGCTTTGCATAAACTCTCCCCTACATTATGCATCCCGGTTTGGACACCTGATATTGTCATGATCCACGCTGATAACTTACTCTCTCCTGATAACGACGCTCGTAAAAGTCCAGTTCAGATTCTCCAGGACGACGCATTTGGAATTCCACTTCAGGTCGTTCGCGCTCCGCCCCTGAAAAAAACATCATGATCAGAGTTTGCAAAATTTATAAAAAGGAACGTCACTTTTGCACTGTTGATAGTGCAATTATTCGTTTGGTCAGCGATCCAAATCTTGGCTCTTTGTGATTTGTTAACCTCCAAAGGAGTGCGGTTTTCACATGTCACCCAGCTGCCTTGTGTGTTGTGAGTCCCCC